GAATCATTGATTATTAGTTTTATCAATGAATAATTAAAGCATAAGGAGCTCCTATTTTTAGGTATCAATTCGAAGACTGGCGGAAAGCAACAGCCAATAAAATTCACTTCCGCCTTTCGAGACAGCAGAAATGTTATCAAGCAGTTCATCCATGTAATCGTTTAGGGTTTTCTCAGGGCAGTATTATATGAACATCAAAGAAAAAAACGGAAATTCTGTGTTCATTGTACCCGTAGGCTACCCATAGGTTGTGATGTTATTGGAAATCAAATTATGCGGGTTATCATCTGCTTTTCTCTCGGACAAGCGACCAACCTGTATGTATGAGAAATTCAAAAAATGACTTAGGGTAACCGGTTTGGCATGGATGCATGTTTTTACTTAAGGGTAGATATGCCAAAAATATTGTGAACAAAATTGAAAGAGTTTAAAAATTTAATTCCCTTGCGTATATTTTTAAACAAACTTTAACTTCATTAACAATGTAAAAGAGGCATTATCAAATGTTTATAAATATGTATGCAAATGTTATCACATGGTTAAAATATGGTAGGAGAATGGACTCACTACTATGCGGGCAGGTGTCACATTGTTCTTCGACTTTTACAGTTTCAATCGTCTCACTTAAACGTTTTTTAAACTGTTTTCGGTCATACAAGCTTGATTTGGCCTTCTTATTGAGCACCTTCCACATCGATGGTATCTGAGGTTTCCCTCCGGATTTCTTCAACAGAACCATTAAAACGACGACTAGTACGCAAAGAAAACTGGCACCAGAAAACGTACTGATGCAAAATGCCGTGAAATTTCTTCGTGAACTACTCAAATCAATCTCAGTTACATCATGAAATTTGCAGTCAATGTTCTCCACTGGTACAATCCGAACCGTTGCGGCTCCACTTTCACTGATCTCGATTTCTGTTTTATAAATAGATGATGGTAATGAGGGCCAATAACGGTTGGAAACTGTAATGTAGACAGTGTAACTTGATAATTTAACCAAAGAATCTGTGACGTAGACTGCTCCTGTTTTTTCTTCAATTGATAGGCCCATTGGTACGGGAGGGAAAATTTCGTAGTTTGGTGTACACAGTTTCATTTTGTATGATGGTTCGATCAATCCAGGCAAAATATTGACATCAACTCGGAACAAAGACTTACCGATTTTCGGAAGAATTGATTGGAAATACCATACCGACTCATTATTTGCAGCTTGATTTGCAGGTATGATTGACTGGTTGACGCATATCTTGGGTGACAATCTGCTAGCGTCAAACAACTGGAAAGTAATATGCAGGTAACTGTTACGCCTAGGAAAACCATTATCGGCAACGTTCAATAAAGCCTTGAGTTGACACTCACTACTTAAACTAGCGTTTAATGTCACCAACGTCAGAAGCCCTGTGGATTTATTTATTGCTACATCAATGCAGCTCAACCGATTGAATGTTAAATTGTAGGTGACGTGACCTGATTGTCCTGAGTCCGAATCAGAACCAACCACCTGCCCAATCATTGAGTTTGAAGGGCTTTGCTGAGGAATGTAAAACGGGACCTCCTGAATGGATAAATTTTGCTCTTGATCAAATATCTGGTATGGGGATAAGGAATTTGCCAGCGCAAAGTTGAATATCCTTATTATAGGGGCATTAAGATTATTTTCGGCGACAATGAAGGTGAGATTCTTCCTTGTAGTAAGTGGTTTCGCTGTTGTATCTTGTGCCACAACCTCTCCCTTATACACAGAAATGGTTCCGTCGAGATTTGGAGCGGAGGTAAGAAAAACTTCTCCATTTGATTCCGAAAAACTGAAAAGGCTTGCCTTGTTTGGCGGAATAGTGAAAAGAGAATGAGGCTCAGGTTGGAAGTGTTGTTCTTTGTAAATGCTCAGGGCGAAGTGCATCTTGTTGACTTTCTCTTCAGATTCATGATTAAAATCTTCATCTGTTGCTCGAAAACGCAAAAAGGCATCACCCAAAGGGAAAGACTTGGGTATAAATACAATGAAATCATCAACCATTTCACTTGGGCTCTCGTTTGTTTTAGTACCCAGAATGGTGGAAAATTGAGCTACATCTGTGTTATTTACAAGCCAAGCGGGTGGAATCACAAGTGGGTTCTGGAAAACTGGGGGATTGTCATTTTCGTTAAGGACAATAGCTTTGACGAAGGCTTCTGATTTAAGCGAATAAGGTCTGCCCGAATCTTCACATGATATTTTTATCTGAAGGTGCCTTTTTGTCTCATAATCTAATGACTTCGCTAGACGAAGCGAGTATGACCACTGGGAAATGGAGTGCAATTCAAAAGTTTCCTCTGACACGTGACAAAAAATTGTTGTATTTTCCGCCAAATCGGGGTCGGTCACGCTTATATTAGCTATGCAACTTCCCACGGGAAGTGATTCGGGGACATGAAGCACTACTGCTTCTTCTGACGAAGACGAGAAACTACTGTTTCCAACCAATATTGAGGATATGGAAATACTTGGAGCGTTGTCATTTATATCAAGCACACGTACAAATACAGGTAAGGTCGAAGTTCTAGCCGGAGTTCCATTATCTGCTGCCTCAACAACGATTCTGTATTCATCATCCCGTTCATGATCAATCTGACCAGCTACGGTCATTAGCCCAGTTTCTGAATCGATGTAGAAGGGGTAGCCTCTTTGATGCTGAGAAATTGAATAGTGAATCCGCCCATTAACTCCACTGTCATAATCCTGAGCCAAGATTGTACAAACCACGGTACCGTTGACTGAATTCTCCACTACATCAATAGTTATATTTGGACTCTGAAACGTTGGACTAACATCATTGACATCCGTGACTATCAGAGTAAGAGTCAATGTTCCCGTTTTGCGCAATTCAACGCTTGCTGACATATCTTCAGCTTCAATTAAAATTTCGTACAATTCAATTTCTTCTCTGTCTAAATAACCATTGATTACAAGAAATAGAGGCTGAGGAACTGAGTTGAGTGAAAATACTTCGTTGCCTTTGGGAATCGGTTGCCACTTCTTTGAGTTCGGCGCTCTTCCATGAATAGATGCAATTGAGTATGTCACCTCTGCATTTTGACCCAGATCACCATCGCGTGCGACTGGCAAACGATATTTATCATCATACTTCACACCTTCACTAAGTTTCAGTGCAAATATGTCGGGTGTAAACACAGGTGTCTGATCATTTAGATCAAGAATTTTTACTTCAATTAGAAGTGCTTTGAAAGGAGTTTGTTGTGCAGCTGTGTGAAAAATACTACCCCCGATAGTTACTGCGAGTTGCAATTTTATTGAGCAGAAAAGGCTACGATGGTCACAACAGCAGCCGTAATTTGCTTGGGAGCACTGGTGTAATGAAAGACGCTTTTTGCACGCAATTTCGAGGTCAAAGGGTTTGATCAACTGAAGTTCGGACGATATCACTGTCTGACTTTTATACGATCCTGCACGTCTTTTTTGTATCAACCGGAAATATTCGGAAAATGGTTGAGAAGAAGGAAAAATTAGAACACTTGCGACGCTTTTATGAAGAGGCATTTCTGGCAATAGATTGGCCAAAACATCACCAAGAAGGAGGGGAACCTTAGAATCCTCTGTCATGGTGAAGCTGACCAGACCTGGCAGTATATCAGCCTTGCAGGAAATCGGAGCAGAAATACAACATATCAAGAGAAAGAGCGGCTGTAATGTGGGTCTTTTCAACATATTGATGCTCCATCTGAAAGCCTTTAAGTGTTGCTTTCAACTCTCGGAAAAGCACATCATCACTTCGGTCTGGAGCTTGAATGTCTACTGACATGCCCAAAGCTCCGCCTTCTCCCCACACTGCAAATGACCAATCAGAAAGCGGAAGATGTGTATATGTGTATGTGCGTGTGTGTGTATGGGAATTGGCACGGGCACGTGGGTAAACGAGAATAAAGGACTGTGGATGGCGTGGTGTACGCATGCATTCTGCCTTCAAAGGTCATATATCCATACGGCTTGCAAAATACTCAATGTAAATTAGCCTTCATAAAATGATTCTGTATAAAATGGAAAATAGCCACTAAAGGGAACAAAAGCCTGGAATCCACACGCATTTTTACTGTCGGGTGTGCAAATCGCTGTCTAAGTACTTTGGACCCGGATTTACTTTGAGTACTGAATCATGACCTGAGAATACTGCGTGAAATTTATAGGCTGCCTAGCACTTTCGTTTTTCTTGCATTAGTATCAATCTCCTTAACAAAACCCCTACTTAAACACAAAAGGACTAAAATGTGGCTATTGAATGCCACTTTTCCTAGGGCGCTTATGAGATCACGCATGTCATAGAATCAAAACAGATATTATAACAAAGACATTTTCTGGTAATTTATCACTCTTTTACTTTAAATAGAATGAATGGACGTCTGCTCTGCATAAAATCGACAGGGTCTACTTGTATGATGAGCATATTTTGCTTTAATACAGAAGAGTAAAGCACGATGTATTTCGTTCATGGGAAATGGATTAAGTCATACAGATTCATGTATTTTGTTGGTCGCCATTAATCGTTCGCAGTGCTATAAGTCCAAAATACGAGTAATTTTATAACTTTAACTTGTGCGTCGTGAGCCTGCATAAAAGCAAAGAGTTTTGGCAACATGCAAATTCGAAGAGCAAAGTGGAAAAGAGCTTACTGAAAGTTAAGTAGATGAGGTGTGGCTTAAAAGATCCGTGGGTCAGTGAAAAAATAGTTGCAATTACGAAGATCTACTGAGATTATCAATTTTTCGGGTTCAAAGTGGAAAGATGATTTGGACCAAATATATGACAAAACTGTGTAATAGTTAACCACTAGACGGCTAACTGGGGATCTGGCAGAAAATAAATATGTCCAAATGGACTTTTATCAACATTTACTTGAAGCCTTAAAGGGTCTGCATAACCAAAAAATGGTGCAGAGTAGACACAAATTGCAGGAGCATGTGACAGAGTTCTTAAGCAAGTGCTAATTTAAATTGCAAAGAAGTAAGTGCAGCAAGATAGAGCTTTACATAACATTGTGCAATTTGGAGCTTATCGAAGTTGGCAGGTTAGTTAATGGTCGTTTCGAATTACAAGTAGATGTAGTCTATCGGTAAATAATGTCCAGAATGATTGCATAGCCAAGTACTAAATAAAATCTATATTAAAAGAAAATACCTATATTTTATTGTCTCGCTCAGAATAGCCTTATTTAGAATTCTACTTAAAAGGGCGATTGAGTGAACAAATTATATAAACATGAGATATCATCGTAAAAAGCAAAAGTATTACTCAAAAGCTATTAAAATTTTAAACTTTCTTGATTTTATGGGTAAAATCAACTGTGCTAACGTACGTTTGGATATGATCCAATTAAACTCTAAAATGGGTAAATTTGTGATTTAGATAAGGCACGATCATCGTAATTCTTTGATTATATCTATCTCAAGCAATTTTTGTTTTACTACCATACTCTTAGCTTGCTAGCACGGTAGATTGGAACCCAGGACTATCTAGGTGCAGCAGCATTGAAGTATTCAGGCAACCGAATCAAGGAAGCATTCATTATGCCTAGCAATTCACGACAGTAATACGGTAGAGCAAGGGTAGTAGAAAACATATGCTGCTATTTGCAAAGAAAATCACGGCTTTAATAGTCATGCTGCTGTTTCTCTCCAAGTAGTTTCAAAGTTCTCATTTGCCTTTCGTGGCAGGCGTAAGAGTTGCAAAAGAACCAATGTCAAAAGTTGTTTCATGTAATTGAAGTCTGACGCGCATGGTATTTATCCAGAAATGAATGCTTGTGGTGGATGTTACCAGGCTTTGAAAGTTATCAGCGTGGATGCTCAGTAAAATGGTCCCAAAAGGATCTTTTGCAAAAATTTGGCACAGTTTTTGAAAAATCTTGTAAGCATCACTGCTAAATTTCGGTTACTAGTATGTAAGACAAGCTAGACAAGCCAGATGGGAAGAAATGCAAGTCCTTTAAGATTGGTAATCACAGTGTAGATGAAGAAAATGATTGGGTTTCTAAGACATAGGAATACATCTGGCGTAAACGAAACGTCATTACGTCTTTTATACAATTGCGTAGCGTTGTTTAATACATCTCGTGTACAGCCTCTCCTTAATGAATGTAGAGTGTTATAGTTATACCTCAATGGTATGCCGATATAGCCGGTGTCACTAATCTGGGAGTGATTTTTTAGCGTTTGAGAAAAGATTAATTATTCTGTTCGACTTCTCCACACTCGTTATGAAGGCATCGAACCAACTGGAGGAAAAAGGGGTACGGTTGTTTAGTCATCGGCTTGTACAGCACCCATTGTGCCCCCATGGATTTGCAGGGAATTGAAGTTTCGGCACATTCGAGCCATAAGATATCCTACCCGTGAAATCATCTGTTATACATTTGACGTAATACTATTGGGGACTAAAAGGGGCTTAATCTCAGAACTAGTAAAGCACAGCAGTAAGTACACCTAGTATGATTATCAGTGTATGACAGTAATAGCATAAAGTAAAAGCAAAGGAAGACATCGGGTCCCTTGATGTTTGCCATTGTTACTTTTGTAGACCATGGTAAATTGATGTGAATTCTCTTTACGGTACCTAAAAAAAATTTTAATGGCATTTCAAGTGAGATACGTATTGTGGTTAATCTAATGATCTTAAGAAGAGATATTGAAGTGGTTACAAAATTTAAGGAATATGGTGAATTAAAAAACTTGTATAAACTTCATGTAAAATATATACCAGTACAGCTTTATAAATTTATGAGCACTCCAGAGTGTGATTGACAACTGCATGTTGCTTTGAGGTTGAGGCCTAAAAGTAATGAGAATTACATGGCAATCGTCATTTGAAAACAATCAGTCGGACATGCTTAAAAACTAACTCACTTTATGGGAAACTGTGGTAAATAAAATTACAACAGCTATTATTTCAAAAGGAGTTAACTTTATTTAAGTAAGTGCACTTAACTAATTCCCTCAGTACAAACATTTGCTTTTACAAAAGACTAAACTTCAATAAGGGCACTTTTCAATTCTTTCTGTCGACATTATTACAGAAAAAATTCCCCCTGTCTAGACAGTGGTTATGATTATTAACTGTCAATGAATCATATTATTATTAAATATACTCTGTGCTTTCCTAAGTTAGTAATTATTGCTGTATTCATGTCAGCGCAAAATAACAGGTAGTTCTGAAATGTCTATATAGCCCCTATTATATAAGCAAAACTAATTTAAAATTCCAGACTCTAATTTAATTTAGACGTTTCCTATCACTATTATGGGCAATCCTAGAGACAGTGGTAGGTGCTATCATTACTCACTTTGAATGGAAAAAAATATTTGCCAAAGGCAAAATATGGGTGAAAACCACTTCTCACAAATCCCTCGGCAGTTCCATATTTTAGTGGCGCCATATGTTTTGAGATAGAGCGGTGATAACCACCTTACTTCTTAAAACCTAGCTCGCAGAAAATTGAACTTAAGGCAGTCTAGATTGATGATTAGTCCATTCCTCGTATTTGGAAGCAGTCCACGTGTGAGTGCTTAAGTGTGCGTCGGATGAATGTGGCCTTCTAAAAGACGGTCAGTATCTATACATTAAGATAATTTGGCACTGGTAACATGGTCGTAACAAATTAAAATTACAAAGGCATAAAGCTTTTTTTGTTTAATAAGGACAGTGCAACTAGACAAAAGAAATACTTCTATGCTGGCACTTTGGAGGGCAATCACTTTGCTTTACATAGGATAATCCAACTACATCTTCCCTTAAAAAACAAAGAGACAATTTTATCCCCGTTTTGACTGGAGCTAAAAATTCCATGCCTAAAGTTGTACAATCAGGTAGATTTTGCATGTAAATCAATTTGTGGAGTTTCACTCTTTTGGACGTTAAAATGTTTTGAGATAGTCAGAGCATGAGTTAGCAACTACATAGTACTCCCTAATCAAGGAAGAATGTTATATATTAACCTTAAGTGGGAGGGTAAAATCATGCATCTAGAGGTTAAAATTTGTGTATGCTATGTAGTTACAGATATTTTAATCGGTAAGTTGAGAACTGAGGTGAAAATTAGGGAACTTAAGGCAGCTCAAACTTAAATCTATTAAGGTACGACTACCAAAAGACACTTTAATATTTTCCTATCAACACCGAGGCACAGTCCCATAATCCTTTATCTGCAATCTTTTACAGTTTTCATCATCAAAATTTAAAGCATTTAACTTCTTGACAGTTTTTGCCAGAACTTCGAATCGGCAACTTGTGCTACTTTCAAGAATAGCGCAAAGGACGAAATTCTTAAAGCAACGATATTCAAAATTTCAGCTTCTAACAACCGTCTAAAGTAGAAAAGTACAACGTGGGCTCGAACATTTGGTCCAGGCCTCTCTATTTCACTACTTTGATTGATAGACTTCTTGTGAATTACCGCCAAAAATTTTCAAGAACAAAAGAGTCCGCTGAATGGCATTGATTCATTGGCAAACTTAATGCACCCAAAACCATAAATTTACCAAATTTATGATAATACAAAATCAGAAAATAAATACGGTAGCTTTTATTGGTATGACAAAAAGACAGCAGAACAA